AGCCCTTCTTACTTCTCTGAATGTTCCAGGAGGCTAGCCATTTCAGGGAAGATGGTTTTGGAGAAATTTGGGACTAGGTGTGTGTTGGGGGTCACTTGGCTAGTAGTACCTAAGGTTAACGAGAACAGAGTATGGCTGTGGTGTAACAAGCAGGTTGCTGGAGTCAGAGATGCTGAACTAAGGCTGCTTAACTAAGGCTTCTTAACACAGACACTCAGTGCATGCTTATATATTCTATTATATTCTAAGTCACTCAGTGTTACATGACAAGCAGTGACACAACCTCTCACTGGTCTGAATTGCACCCCAAAATATGACAGCATGTGCTCACAGTAACTGGTCTGGACGAAGGATGATGTTCTCCGCCTTGGAGGGGGCTGGTACCAGAATGATTTCTGGTATGACACGGGGCTATAGCTCCTGAGATATCTTAACATAGCCTGGAGTCTTGATGAATGGAATGCCTCATCCATCCTAAAGCTAGCTAAACAGATCCATTCCCTTGAAAGATAGATATTTGAGGATTGCTTGGACATCCAAGGGATGCCTCCTGCCTGCAAAAAAGATGCTCAGAGTATCAGGATAGCTGTGGCCATGGACCAGGTGCCTGTGTCTTGACTCACCCATGGCTGCCTGTAATGCTGCCTTCGCTGGGACTGTCCTTTAGTTCCTCTCTGCAGTTCTGTGACAGTCTGGAAAGGATTGGGGTTGCTCTCTCTCCCACACAAGGAAGCCTTACTTCATGAACAGTGCTTAGTAATTTGCAATGCAAAACTGCAGTAATCTGAAGTGTGTTTTTCTGATGAAAAGGTCAAGTTTCTTCAGATCCTTGTCCTTTGGGTGGACCTTGTTATGTCTTGGACTGCCAACAAGTGATCCTCATGTAGGATGCATATAGAATTGCTTAAAGTAACCCTTTGGGTGAGATTTGGCACCTCTTCTCTACCTGTTTCAAGGCTGGGGGAGTGAAACCCTAGTGTGCCAAAGGCCCTTCTTGCAGGATCCATCAAGCCCCTGCTAATGTGTAAGGCAATTTACGTGGGCTCCAAGGAACTCAAAAATGTCAAACAGTTTATGGATGTCCCCTTGGATGACTGTAGTTTTGATATCTTTGCATCTGGACAAAAGTTTCTAGAATGCCTGAAAGTAGTCCATGGTTGGCACCAGAGCTCTCTCAGAATAGTGGTACTGTTGGGTTCGATGTTGGTGAAGACAGTGCTAACAGTGGTGTTGGTTCCTAAATCAGTGTTGGGAAGATGAAGGTGGATACTTAAAAGCTGGTATAGTTTCTTGATTGGCCGGGCTCTGGCTGTTGATATCAGCACCAGGTCCAAAGCTTCTCTGTTTATGCTGTGCTTCCATTCCTGGAGCAGGAAGGCCTTGACAGCTGTCTTTGGATTTAAGGTCCTTCTTCTGATACAGATGTGATGGCTTGTTGGAGCTACATTTGTGGTGAAGCTCCATATCAATGTTTTGGAGAAAGAGCAACAGATGGAGCAGTTATTGGTGATCTGAGCTTCCCCCAGGCAGCAGAGACATTTGTTACACCAGTCTATCAGGGGCAACTGGATATCACACAAAAGGCAGAGAGCTTGGAATTGGTTGACTGAGGATTTTATTTTTGCATTTTGGAATTTCCAACTAAAATGAAGAATTTAGAAATTTATTATTTGTGAAAAAATACTCTTCACCTAAGTCTAAAGCTTAGGCCAAAGACTGAGTAAATTGGGCATAGGCCAGGTTCTATCTTGCTGCTGTGGGCTGTAAGAGAGAACTGAGGGAAGGTCAGAGCTACATGGCTATGCAGAAGATTCTGAACTTACAGTCACACCTACAGCATGAACTATGCTGACACAGACACAAAGAATAATTTTTATTATTCCACTGATGCATCTCTAGTGTGGACAAATCCTCATGCTGCTCAGGGAATTTGAAGTAGGAAGACTTTTGGCTGCTCAGAAGGATCACACTCTCTCCAATTGTTAATTCATTCCAGATTCTTAGGAGGACTTGTACCTTTTGTGGAAGGTGGTCTTTGGTGGAGTGATTGCAAGGAACTCTGAGTTTGGGTCCCAAACTTCTGAAAAATTGTCCGCTGAAACTGAGCAGATACTGGCCTCATTCTGCCTGGCTACATCCCACAGGAAAGCAGAAGGCAGCTTGAATTGAGAAGTCTGTATTTGACCAATGGCATAGCTGGAAAGGCTAAGTCTCTGTAATCCTTCCATTGATTGCTCTTCTTTACTGAAAATTCCGTGTTCTTAGTCCTATTTGAAGAAGAGCACAGACTGCTGAGATCCACTGTAGTCAGCAGCAGTTGCGGCCAGAGGATGTAAGGAAAAAGGCCCTTTGCAGGGTCCCATAATGCCATTCTAAGCTCCATTTGTGTGGTCCGGCTGGTGTATCAGGTAACTCCTCCTCTCCTGCCAGTTACTGCTATTGTAATTGTCTTTGATGCTTCATTTGCATACTTATTCTAGATGTCCCAAATTGGGCTGAGTAGAAATCGGATGCTTTAATCCCTTCACTACAATACTGCAGCACAGGACAGGGAAAAATGTGTGTAGCGGGATTTTTCCCTATGCTGTGAAGTTTAGGAAGCAGGTCTAAAAACTGCCCATCAGCTACACCAAGACAGCTCAAATTAGGCAATTTTCTAGAAGGAACTAGTATTGCAGTAGTACTTAGGACCTATGCTCCTGCACTTGGCCACCATTTTTGTAGGAACCATTTAGATAAAAAGATGCCTTTCTGCAGTTAAAAGTAATTGTTCCCCAGTCAGTCAATGATTGGTATATTGTCTATTACTACTGCAAGCCAGAGATAAACTCCTTGTGTGAGAAGAGGGAGCCATGTAAAGGGGTATTTTTTTTTTACGCTCCTTTAATGCTAAGGAAGTTGTTCCCATGTTTGAGCCACCATCTGGAATGAGTCTGCCTGAGCTTCTAAGTTGTCTGCCACTGACTTAGATCAGTGGTCTCCAAAGTGGGGTGTGCAAGAGGATCCTGGGGGGTGCGCAGCAGGAGAGCAGCTTTTTTTTGGTGCATCGTCAGGCTGGAGTCTAAGCGGCCTTTTTTTTTTTTGCGCTTCAGCAGAGCAGGGGGTGCATGCTCAAAAATTTTTACTGATAGGGTGCATGCTCAAAAGTTTGGAGACCCCTGACTTAATCTCCCCCCCCCCCCAATCTTCAGTATATGATGAACAGTATCTGCTTCAATTTATGTCCAGCTGTACTGACATCAGGAAAGGGATGTTACTTAGACGAGCAAGGTTATAGTGAAGACAAAATCAACTTATGGTTGTCAGGTTTAAGTGCACTTTCACCATTAAAACAAATATTGGTAAAGCAGATTGGCAATGAGATGTGCAACTGTTGAAAACATTCCATAGATGCAATTTTGAGCCTGCAGTGATCAGTTTAATGATATTAAACTGCTCAAGTTTGTGGCCAATTGAATAGTCTGGAGTAGAAGAGAAAACTACAGTTGATGTTGCTCACTTTCTGCACTGATGGGAAGTAAGTATCTTTATATTTAGAGAAGGCAACAATAAGGGGATACAGTTGAAGCTTCATTAGTAAAATGTTTTACAGAGTTTAAAATGTTAAGTTATCCCTATGTACTGCTCATTATCCATATTACTATCATCAATGGGTCCCGGCACCTCCACTTGCCCGGTATCTAACCCAGGGGTTTTCAAACTGGGGGTCGGGAGCTGTCAGCCTCTACACCAAAGCTCCTTTACCTCCAGCATTTATAATGGTGTTTTATTTTTTTATATATATAAAAAGCGTTATTAATGTATAAGAGGGTTGCACTTAGAGGCTTGCCGTGTGAAAGGAGTCAGCAGTACAAAAGTCTGAGAACCCCTGATCTAACCTACATTATATTGCTATAGTTGCTAGACAAAGCTAAAGAGAATTAAGGATGTATGTATGGTGAAACTCCTCCCAAGAGATGTTTAACACACACACTCTGGCAATTGCTATTTTCAATACCAGCTTTTAGTCCATATTGCGCTACTTGAAGCCAGCCAGCCTCCACCCCCAATTTAAATGATATACTGAGCATGCTTCTAACCCTTGTGAGAACTGCACCCTCAGTACCAACCTAAAAATATACCTACTCATGGGATGAGCTACATTTGAGCAACATAATTCAGTAGAAGTGACATTTAGGCACTTGAACACTTTGTGTAGTCAGTTATATTCTTGCTTTCCTTAAGATCTCATCTACCAGAAAACGTATCAATTTAGTGCTTATGTAAAGTTCTCCTTTCATTAACATTTCATTTAAAAAGTTACATAAGCGTGTTTGCAAGCTTGTCAATACTATTTCTCTATTCTAGAGAAAGGCAATAGCTTGTCCTTCAAGTGAGGAAATCCTAAAATTTTAAATTGCTTGTAAAATACTATTACCATGATCATGCTGGATCAGGCCAGTGGTTCATCTAGTCCTCCTGTGTAGCTAGCATGAGACACTTCACAAAAAGATACAAGCAACCACACCACTACAAAATGCATTCACCCAGATTTCAGGAATTAGTAAAACTTGCCGTGATGAGGATTTCTTCACCCCCCACCCCCTTCCCAGTATCTCATCTTTTAAAAAAAAAAAATTCCATTTAACAGTGTCTACATATTATGAAATTGCACTGATATTAAATAAGAGTTAATCTAAATTAAACTGACCTTAACCCATCAGTAGAATGGTAAGGGTGACATTTAAGCTAAACTGCTAAAATCAATAAGGAATATGTTTAGACAGCCACATAAACCACCCAAACTCCCTTGTAGACACTGTTAAATGTGTGTGTTTAAATCAACTTTTAAACTTGTAATAGTGCAACTTCCCTCATTTAGGAAGGCCTCAGATCTACCTCACCAGATCACCATCACATCTATACTTTGACTTCACTACATTTGGGTGAAATATTTTTAAGGAATCCAATTAGCTTTGGCCGTCAAGAGGTTCTGCTACTGGGAGACATTTGAAAACAAGTCAAGTATCACAATGTTTATTGATAGATACAAGTATATAAAATCAGGGCATGAACATGTCTTGATAAATTAAGTAGACTTAATTTCAATACTATAATAAGAGGGACCAATTCAATTTCTCACCATTTTATGTTTCACACCCACAAAAACCACTTCCAAGGGCATTTAACCACCTTTCCAAACTGATCAGTTTTTGTGCAAGTAAACCATGTTTCTTTTAAAAAGACTTGTGCACTTGCCCAGGCTCAAGGATATTAAAATCTAGCACATAAAGCCCATTACTAGAGGTAGAATTACAGGCAATATACTATTACGGCAACAACCATCGATTACAGTTAAGGATTCTCTGTAACAACCAAATGGATAATCAAATATTGCAACGACTCAAGTATTACACTGAGCAAAGTGCATTTCTACAGTATTCAGTGTTGCTATTCAGTTTTCTAACTTAACAGCCTATGATAACTGGCAGCAAAGAAAACCCTTGCAATAGACTGCTTCTGCTTGAGAACTTATGATGTAATTATTGCATGCTGCTAATACACTGTTATCTAAACATTAAAGATACTCTAAAATATTTTATGGTAGACTATGATTAAGACATACTACAAAAACCTTATGCAGAAGAACATCCTATTGACATGCTTCTGCTTTAAATATTGTGAAACATTACAGCGGAATGAATTTTCGCAGTGGTTAGGTCAAATGCAGTTACATCATAGCAACAGTGTTTGCACAAATTTAAGGCTTTGGCTGGTTCTTTAGTCAGCATCTTCTTCAGATTCTTCCTCTTCAGCAGTTTCCAGCCAGGTTAGCCACTGGTTTACCTGCAATCATATCAATGCATTTTCAGAAGCAGAAAAAGCTGACTGCATGTGCGCATATACAAAATTTCTACATCTCGTTCTTGTGGCTTTCCCCTAAAAATACTACCATAAAAAGCATTTATTTTGGGTAGCATGCATGTCATCATTGACCTTTGCCCCTTTATTGTGTGTGGTGGGGGGGGGGGGGAAGGAGGAGGGAAGAGGAGAGTGCTCCTTTATCCTGCCTCATATTCCCTGCCTCAGCCCAAATAAAGGTCACATAAGAGCATTTCTAAATTAAGCTAAGTACTTAATATTTTTACAATAGGGTTCCCTGAACTCATCAGCACAATGGAAGTAGGCAAATATATACTGAAAAAGATTTTTATAAATTTCTGCTCCATTATACACAGTTTTACCTGGAATAAAGCTTTGCCTTTCCCTGGAAACTCTTGAGTAATATCCTCTTTCCATGCCAAAAAGGCTTCCTCTTCAATAATTTCCATGTCATAGAAATGAACAAAAAAGCGCAGTAACATGCCTATAAAAAAAACAGAGAGACCAGGTAAACCAATTCAATATTAGGCATATTGAATTCCTCAGAAGCAGTTTCCCGAACTATAGAAAGCTCCATGCAAGGCTGACAACTGCACGTTAAATGAAGTTTCATTAGGTAAGTACACTGTTGCACCCAGGTGGTAAACTTTGCTACATTTATAACTAGGATGTGCTTAGAGGCTGCTATTATAATAACAGAGTGCCCTTTGACAGACAGGTTTACTAAACACTTCAGAACATGGATGGTACTGACTAATACTTTGCCAATTTGCTACTGTATTTGAGGGAAATATGCAAATACATTATTCATACCTTTTGGAAAGTTGTTGTTGTAGCAGTGCACCTGAAGTGCATACAGAGCACTCACTTGTAGATCAACATGGTCATGAAGAAACTTCTGCATTACTGGCTTGAAGGAAAGAAGCAGTTGTTTTTCCTGTTCTAACTGCTCTTTAGAAGGAGCAGATGAAGAATCTGGTTCATCATTAGGCGGGCTCACTTCACTTGAAATATACTGCAAGAAACTGGAAATAAAAGTTGTATGAAAACATTTAGAAATTATATTTAAGACTAGTGAATTACTTTGACAATGTAAAAGTAGCTGTACAAACAAGCACTTTTGTCAGTTGGTTAAATTCACTATCAATTTTTTCCCCCACTTTCAACTACTTAAAACTCCCCACGTTAAATCCAAGACCAACAAGGCCCTATTTGGGAAAGTACTCATTGTGGGAGGGATAGCTCAGTGGTTTGAGCATTGGCCTGCTAAACCCAGGGTTGAGAGTTCAATCCTTGAGGGGGCCACTTAGGGATTTGGGGCAAAAATCAGTACTTGGTCCTGCTAGAGAAGGCAGGGGTCTGGACTTAATGACCTTTCAGGGTCCCTTCCACCTCTATGAGATAGATAAGTTATTTGTGGTCCTGTTCATCTTCAGATGCAAGGAATCTGAATCTGTTTCCTTGGACTCTGTTAGAGCACTGAAGGATTTGAGAACAAGGTCATGATTTGCTATCTAGAGCATTCTTTCCTTCAGTTGTAGTGCTTTAAATAGCATTAAAAAGAAGTCATCATGAACCCCCTCCTTGTGTACAATCTTGTCTCTATATCCTCCTTCTGCAGGGTACACTTTATTCCAGCTATGTGGATACTGCATAAGCCATTAGTGAGCACAAGTCCATTTTTAACATGTCTGAACTACTAAAAAGTATGATAGGTTTGCTCTGAATTAATCATCTCACCTTGTCATCAAAATATTCACAAATCCCTTATCTACATGAAGTTTGGGTGAAATGTTGTCTTTAATCCATTTATAGATGGCTTGAGGGGATGGATCCAACTTTATTTGCTTTAACAGTTCCTTCTCCAGTTTCAGAAGTGGGAACAAGAAACTCAGTCCTTTCCCTTCCAAGATCTCCAGCATACGATCCTTATTCTGATCAATTTCTAAGAAAAATTGAATGAAAATTCTGAATAACTAAGACAACTTCTGAAGTCAAACAATGGACCAAACCAGCTTAGCTGAGAAGGAGAGGTTACTTACAATTACACAGTAACTGGAGTTCACAATATTTTGCTATGATGGGTGCTTCAGGTAACGATGTACACGCACCCATGCAGACTTGGAGATTTTTCTACTAATAGTGCCTATGGGTCTGCACCTGCACTATATGCCTCCTTGTGCTCTGGTATGAGAGCATACAGGGAGGAGCTGACTATGACACTCCAATTCCTTCAGAACCTCACAGCATAGTAAGACTCCAAAGCAAAAGGGAAAGGAGATAGTGGCAAAAAACATATAGGGCGAAGACATCAGGACGAATGCCAATTACTATATGAGTAGGTTTAAAGTAGTGTAAATGGTGGATTCTCTGCAACTTGAAGTATTTAAAAACAGCTAGATGTTATGGGCCTCTTAAAAGGAATGGGTGGTCAAGGTTCTGTGGCCTGTAATGTGCAAGTCAGATTAGAGTGGGGATTCTGAACCGAGAGAGAGCGTGAGTAAAAAGAGTCACGAGCTGTTAGCCTCCACCCTCAAACCACACTTGCCTCCAGCATTTATAATAGTGTTAAATACAGTATATATAAAAAAAGGTGGTGTTTTTAATGGGGGGGGTTCACTCGGAGTCTTGCTGTGTGAAAGGGGTCACCAATTCAAAAGTTTGAGAACCCCTGGATTACAGGATCATGATGGTCCCTTCTGGAAGTCTCTGCATCTAAGTTAAGTAACCTCTTCAAGTTATTGTCCCTATGGATGTACCACATAAGTCCCAAGTACCTTAATGTGGAAGAGGGTCCTGTAAAGGCTGTGGTATGGAATAAGGCATAATGCTATGAAAATGTATTAAGGGAGAGTCAGGTGGCTGACTTGCAAGTGTCCTTGGTGGGCACCTTCTTGAGGGCAATGGAATTAGATGAGCCCTCATGGAGTATGCAGTGACTCAAGGGGGTTCATCCCAGAGGGCAAAATGCACCGCCATAGCCACTTCAGTCGGAGAGGAGACTGAGTGACCCCCTCCAAAGGGCAGAGTTCAGGGAAAGCCCTTTGAAGGGCTTACTTTGATAAGGATAGAAAGCCAGGGCTCATTTTATATCCTAGGTATGAAGACTGGTTTTTGAACCTTATCCAAGTTCCACTTGTCTAGAGAAGACAGCTGAATGTCCTGACTGATGTGGAAGTGTGTGGTAGGCCTGTAACGTAACTTTGTCCGGGAAAAACAAACAAACAAACAAACAAACATCCACCCCAGCATATGGTGGGCCTGCCATGAAGGCTTCCAGTCCCCCATTCCTTCTGGCTTAGGCAACTGCCACAAGGAATGAAGTGTTGAAGGACAGATGTAGTAGTAAGCAGGTTGCCCCATGTTCGAAGGTAGATCCTCTTACTGTATTAAGCATTAAGCTGAAGTTGTGGTCCAATAGAAGGAACTGATTAAGGAAGCCCTTAAGGAATCTTGCTGTAGGATATGCAAAGATAAGGGGTTTTTCTGAGTGCCAGATAGAAACTGGCAGCTAAATGAACCTTGACAGAGTTCAGGAACAAGCCCATCAATTTCGGGATTAGTACAAAAGCTGAAGATAGATTTCCTGCTATTTAAAAAGGACTTGCAAGAGTAGTAGTACTCACAAATCTGGTACACTCAGTATTATGTATCTTCTACCGATTCTCCCCCAGATATCTACCTACACATAGAACCAACAGAATTTCAGGAGAACATTCCTGCTCTAGGCCTGAGAAGCAGGGATGATAAGCTAGGGCAGGTTATGGAGCCCTACTACTGGGTCAGAAGGGCAGTCAGAAGAAGGTATAGAGACAGACCAGATGGGTCAGGAACCACACCAGTCTTGGCCACACTGCAGTTATGAAAGCAATCATGGCTCTCTCTCTCATTTCAGTTTGAGCAGGACTTTATGGATCAGTGAAATTGGAGGGAAGACATGTAAGAGACCCCAGGGACTAATGTGCCAGAAGACCATCTCCCAGGGAGTCACAACTGTATCTTCTACACACTCTGAGAAAACTAGCATCTTAAGTTGGAAGGCATGACAAAAAAGTCTACCTGGGGAAGGCCCCTGTTAAGGCTGACCTTTCAAAATAGCACATCTGTCTGCTCCCACTTATGATCTTGATGGCACTACTAGCCAATAAATAAATAAATAAATGGTATGCAAACATCCTCATCTCAGCATCTATATAGACAACTTGAGAACAGCATGGATACTATATTAAATATATAGTCAGTGGGGTAGAAAAAACCTGATCAATTTAAGAAATTCTGCTATGACAGTTATTTATTAACCGACATCCCCCTCCCCAAGAATGTTTCACAGCATTTTCCACCCAGTACACTTTACAGAAGTTGAAAGATAAAATGATTAATATGTCACAGTAAGTATTTTGATTGCTTACCTGGCAACATCTTCTGCATGTTGACTTTGCTTTGTTGGAAGAGTTCAGTTAGCCATTCCCGGTCTTGTAACTTAGCTAACTGCTGAAGGCAAAGCAAGAAGAGGGGGAAATGGGTGCCACTCTCCAGTGGTTGAGCCAGTTCTGAAATGCTCACCAGTTCTGAAATAATGGCACGGGCTGCAAACTGTGCTAAGTAGGATTTCACCAAAGGGATGTCTACCTCCAGTTTGGGACACTGGTCCAATACATTCAGGAATGCCTAAGAAAAAGGGAAGAATATTAAGTTGTCAGCAACATGATTAGTCTAGGGAACTACAAGATGAAAAAAACCTTACACGCAAGGAATATTCTTTCTAAAGGACACTAACTACATGTCCAGTGAAAAGTGTCTATTATTCATAGTACCTATATTTACTATAGCAGTGGTTTTCAAACTTTTTGTATTGTGACCCCTTTCACATATGGGGGGGGGGGGAAGGGGAGACTTAAATTAATGGGGACTGGGAGTTGTCTGTCCCACAGAGCTGATAGCTTGCAATCCCCATGCAACCACCTTGCGACCCGAAGAATTATGACCCCCAGTTTGAGAACCTTTGTACTATAGGGTATTGGGGGGGGGGGGGGCGGTGTTTTCCAGTTCCTAAGCATCAAAAAGAGAATCTTTAACTCAAAAAGAACTCCGAGGCTACAACATGGAGTACCTGCATGAAGTTGTCACTAGTGGCTATTCCTTCCTGTTTCAGTAAGCTGATCAAAGCACTTGCTTTCTCTTTATCTTCATCTGATCGGTCTAGGGATTGAATGATTACTTTGCTCAACATCTCAGGTAGGAAGGGCTTTGGAGCCCTCATTTCTCTCACACCATTGATAGCATCATTTGCATTTCCATTGTTCAGATAGTCAGTCACAACAGCTTCCTGAAATAGAAATGAATCTGAACTCCACTGATTTCTTGCAGTAGCTGTGTCCCATTTGGAACAGAGTACAACATTAACTTACAGTGAGTTTAAGCAATTCTTCCTTAGAAGGTGGCGGCTTTTTACTGATCTTTGCAGGCTTCTCTTGAATAAGTGGTGGATTTGTTTTGAGACCAAGCTGAGGAGGCTTGAAAATAAGTGATAAAGTTAGGGTAGTTTCAGAAATTAAATATTTGGTTACATTTATTCAAATCTTTTACTGAAACTACAGCCAGAAGAAAATCCTGTATTCTTTCCAACAGTTTTTTATATACGATTGTGATTTATCTTGATGCATGTGCAAGAGCTACTTTAGTTGTCAGCGCTTAAATTTTATACAGAGTTAAACAATAGTCACAGTTATCAAATTAGGATATTTACCTGTCCCAAAGGTGGTGTCTGAGTGCGTGGTGGTTGTGCACTGGGAGGAATCATAGTTATTTGGGGCTGAAGCTTTGGCACTTGGTTCTTATTCATTAGAAAAGATTGAGCAGGTCTCAGGCTAATCTGTAAGAAGACAAATCCTAGCCCATCAAATTGCTGAAGTTCCCTGGCAAGTCACTAAATAATCAGAGTATCTCACAAGCCCTGCTAATGTAGTGTAGTGACTCAGGACAAGTTTATTTTTGTAGGCCTGCTCTTGATCTCATGCCAGTTTTACACTAGTATATTCAGTGGGATTATTTCAGAATTTACACTGGTAAAACTGTAATCAGGATTAGGCCACGTGTGTAGTTCAACGCCCAAGAACAACAGGATGAACTAAGGATAAAAGTTCCAATTTGAAACAAGATGCGTTAATATAAGGTGCCTGTATATTTAAGTCTTGGCTGTTGGTTTATAGCATCAAAACACAATATTGCTAGTTTTAGCCTTGCTTTGGTATTTTGATGACTGCAATATAGACCCAAAGTGATCTGGTTTGGAAACAGATGCATGGCTATTAGAGAAGCCAAGATTTAAAGGAAAAATATGCAAGTTGACATCTCAGTGACTGTGTCAAATGCAGAGTAAACTTTGCATTATTGTACATGCATATCAGTTTTCACATGGACATAAACCACTCCCCAAAGCAGACAAAAAACAAACAAAAAAAAGCCTATATTGCAACCAGATGAAGAGCTCCTTTCTATGAAAGGTCAGAGGTATTGACCTTGCTTTAGGAAAGAAAAATCCTGAGAAATTGCCCTCATATCTCATAATCTTGCTCACAGGACGCTGGACACCCAAGGATAATGAGGGGTTAAAGTGAAAGTGGAGAAGGGACAAAGAAGAAAAGAGGAGGAGATAAGAAGCAGAGGTCCAGCATTAGTCCTCGTAATAACGCGTCTTGCTATAATCATTGGGCAATATATTAAGAATGCTGCAAGTAATGTAGGTATATACCTCATCTGCATTAAGCTGTCCTTTCTTAGAAAACCGAGGTGGCATATCCTTCGACTGTCCTTGTTGCTGGGATAACAGTCCCTGATTCTGGTTATGGTAGAGCTGGCTTTGCCCCTATTTCAGAAAGAGAGAGAGAGAGAGAGAGAAAGATAGAGAGAAAGAAGTGCAGATGGACGGGGGTGCACAAAATATGGTAGTAGTACCAAAGGAACTAGAAGTTCAATAGAAAATATTTGCCAGGGAAGGAAGGAAGAGGAAAAAAGTAGTGTATTCTATCCCTAAAACCAGGGCCATGGATTTAAAAGAAAAATTGACACATTACACACTTCTGACTCAAAGTCATAAAATGTGCACCTTCCCTGGCAATAAAGAAAGAAGTCTCCCTTGCATCAGTCTCTCTTCTCTCTTTTTTTTCCTTTTTTGGAGGAGTGGGGGGAAGAAACGACTGCAATGTGCAAGAAGTGCTTATTTTCCTACCAGCTGTAAGAATCTTATACAACACAGATGACCAGCATCCATCTGGAAGCCTGCACATCTGTCTCAGTGTAAAGAAGATTCCAAAACTAAGGTTTCAGATATACCTAATCACCAAAAGGTCTTCCTTACCTGATTTTTCAAAAAAGATTTGCCTAGATCTCCAAACTGGGATTGAGCAGGCGGAATGAGGTGTCCCCCATGGCCATTGAAAAGTTGATTTGAACGATGACGTCCCATGGTTGGTGAAAATCTATCCTGAATAACTCCTGGACCAGTACCAATTCCGCTACCTGTACATAGGAAGGTGAATGAGAACGTAGACAGTCATGTACACACCTGACATTCAAGAGAATGCTGCTGCTGCCACAGCAGCTTTAGGATTTCAGTTTACCTGGCATTTGTCCAAACATATCAGCAAGCCCTCCAAGTGGGTCCCTGTCAAGTTTCATCCTGGGTGGCATAAACGGTCCCTCCAGAAAGAAGTCGCTTCTCATCCCTTGAGCCATAGGAGCAGGAATAAAGACTCCCAGATCCTTCAAAGACAGATTTAGAATCTTAGTCAATTCATATAGATAGTTCTGCAAGTCCAGAACATGTATTTACCAGTCTATTCAGATTCTAGGATTAAGATTTTAGTCGGAGTCCAGGAGTTTGACCAACCCTTCACGCGAACGGCCAAGGCGGATGTACGGTATCTCACAAGCCCTGCTAATGTAGTGTAGTGACTCAGG